TTAGCCATATGTTAATCAGCTGGTGTCTGCCTTTGGTTACATAAGCTACTCTGCATGGCTGGGGATCCCTGAGAAAGTTAAAAGAAACTGCCTTGTGGGTGTAGCTTCAAAGGGTTGGGATGAACAGTGTGCTGGATTCTGTTTCCCAACAGTGTCTAAATTTGGCTCCATTGTTCTTTTTTTTTTTGCTTAGTACTAAAACTGGATATGAGCCAGACAAGGACAATATCTTGACAGAGAACTTCATGCATCTCACACAGGGTCATCTACGTTGTCCAACTCCATGTGCATCAGAGATTACACTGAGGAAAACAAAAGAATTACGCAACAGAAGGAGCTTGATCCAAGTAAACAAGAGAAACGTGACTTATGGTTGAAGCACTTTCCTGCTGTATTTGAAGCAGATGGACAATAAAAGTTCCACCCTATCTTTAGTTCCCCTACACACTGTAAGCAAAAAAAAAAAAAAAGAAAGCAGTAAATCACCTGAGGTTTCATGTATAGTTGTCCAGGTTTTTGGTCTCATTTGTCCCATTCTTTAGAATTTCCAGTTCAAAAACTGTATCAGTTTTAGGAACCAACTGATAAAGCTGATGTGGTTTGGGGTAAAATAAGGGTGTGCTACAATTTCCTGACCTTGACTTGTGAGGTCCTGAGAATCTTCTCTAAGCCAGCAAACCCTCTGCATTTTTACTGGAATCAGAGAAAGAGTTCAAAGTGCTCAAGACCCAAACCAAAAAATTATTGTTATTGTTATTATTATTATTATTATCATCATCACTATTATTATTATTATCATTAATAATAATCAGATTCAGAATTTCATGTTATCTCAGCAGTTCCAAGATATTTCTCTCTCTCAGATTCCAAACCTTCCTCCTAGAATCTTTCGCATGATAAATTTTCCTAGACATTGTATGATTCCCAGCTATCAAAATACAACAAATGGTTAAACTACCTGATGCAACAATGGTTAAACTAGGTTGATGCAACTAGCAATCAGGCTGTCTAATACTGGGTGCATCTACACACACAATTAATGTGAAGCAATAAACTCTGGAGCAGTTCAAACTGGCGTAAACTGCTTCCGGGTGCAGTGTCTACATGTGTGCCCAGGACAGCAGCAATTTAAGCCAGGGTGGAGAAGACCCCAACCTGCATCAGCATCTACATGTGCATTTCAATGCAGTTAATCACTCTGCCGTAAGATGGTACTGTCCCTGACAGTCCCTGATAATACTATCTTACTGTGGAGTTATTTAGTTTACTGCACCTTAATCCCGGCACACATGTAGACTGTGACACTATACTGCAGATCTAACTAATCTATTCCTCAGTAAAGTGCATGGTCGTTTATACACATACTTTTTTGTTCAGTAATGCACCAGAGATCCACCGCTTCAGAGCAGATGTGATTAATCAAATCTGCTCCGCATGTGAGCCAACATGCAGTGTGCTGTACCACGTGCAGTTGTATAAGTGGTGAAATGCTTGTCAGAGTGCAGAAAATGGTGACAGTGTGCTTTTGAACCAAAGCACCTCCAAGGAGCTTTTGTTCAAAAGCATGTCGCCACCATTTTCTCAGCACTAACGCACATTTCTCCAATTATACAACTGCAAGCATTGCAGCACTGGGTGCTTTTCAAAGCGCCCAGTACTGTGGCACTTGCATGTGTAAAAATGCCCCATGTGTAGATGCACCCATTGTTTCATTTTTTCCTTGTACGGCACCATATTCTTCTATATATTTCTTATTTCTTGCCTGCACTTATTGTAAGTTCTTTGGGTACCTACACATGAGCTGAGAGGCTGGTCTGATGCACTGTAATTACAGCTTGTTGGAGCAGACTCAGTTAATGACCATGCTCCAGCCAGCCTTTGTGTCTCTTGTATTAGAGTCCCCACACTTCAAAATGGTGGCTCATCGTTTGATGAGCTTTAGATAAAGTGCCCCCACCACCATTTTGCAGTATGGGGACACAGATACATGAGACGCTCTGGACACTTAAATTAGAGTAGCTCCCAGAACCACTATAACTAAAGCCCTTCTCCATTCTTCCCCACCACTGCTGCACATGTGAAAATAGCCTTTAGGTCAGGATCTAGGTCAGCTCTATTCTTTATTTGTACAGTACCTAGCACAAATATCTTGCCTAAGACTGTGGCTCCTGGGCACAATGGTAATACAAATAGCAGTTTAATGCTCCATGCTGAAGAAGGAAGTAGCAAGTACCAAGTTAAGCAGCATGGTGAGTAATAATTAATTAAAGGTGTTAAACTGCAGTTGCAAAAGGAAAGACAGAGGGTTTACATTTGAGGGGAAATGCCTTTCACCCCTATAAGAGGTTGAAATATTACTAGCTATTTCCAGATAATAGAATACCCTCCAGCTGATCAAATAACTGGTGAGGGGTGAGGAGGGGGATGAAGAGGGGGGTGGAGGAAACAGCCTATCATTAAAATACTATTCCACGTGTAACCCTGGGCGTGACACTACATGCACCCTCACCTGAATGATAGGATCCTGGGGTAGCCAGTAGCCAGTAGCCCTGCCCAGCCCCCCTGGGAAGCTGCTGCAGTGCCCCGAGCAGAGAGCCTCCCCGTACAATCAAGCACCCTTGCAGACAAGTCTCAAACTATTTACAAGATTTAATTATTTACAGCATAATAAATAATCATGAAATAAACACATGGGTATCTGTATAATAAACCCTCAAGAACTTATTTACAGTCTCTCACTTGCACACGGTGTACTGTGGATCCCATGTGCATGACCCCTGGCGGGGTATCCCAGGGAGCAGGACTATCTGTGTCCCTCCACGTGGTCTTTGGGAGCTCTTAGGCACTGGTGTCTGTCTCCGTGCTCCTGGAGTCTCTGGGCAGCAAGCGGCGGCTCCTCTGCAGTCCCTGCAAAACAGACTTCCCCTGCCTTTGCCCCGCTTCCCTGGTTCTGCTGTGAGTAGTGTCTGGGCTGCAGGCTATAGCAACCCTCCTACTGCCCCACACAGCCTCACAGCCCTGGCAACTGCAGCCCCTCCCTGGGCTTTGCCTGCCCCTGGGGCCCCTCACCCCTCAGGGAAACTAGGGCAGACTCCGGCCGTCCCCCCTGGCTCTGCTGTGCTCACCCAGCCTCACTGGCTGCAGTCAGGTCTCTCTCCGACTTGGGTTCTCCACACAAGCAGTCCCCACCGGCTCCTGCCCCTGAAGCTTCTCCCTCTGCTCCGGCAGGCCTCTCTCAGGGGCTCTCCGAAGGCCCACTCCACTGAGACACTCAATCCGGTCTCCAGCCTGTCCCTCAGCCCCTCTCTCTCTCGTTCCCCCCCCCCCGTGGGAAAACTTGCTCCCCCTCTTATCCGAGCCTCGCAGCCAATCCCAGCTCAGGGCTCTTCCCGGGCTTTTGCTAACAGCCCTCTTTCAAAACTGTCTGGGGTTACATCACCCCTCCCACTTCCAACAGGGCTGCTCCCAAACAGCTTCACTTACCCTCAGAGCCTACAGTGTCCCCTCTGGGACAAACTGTCTCTCTGCCAGGCAGTTCTTCCCCTTCTGCTCAGGTGGGTCCATTTTTAGAGGCTGCTACACATGCATGCAAATTCTTCAAAGATCATTTAAACAGGATTTTCACCACCGCTCATATAATTAATTATTGTAAAAGTACTTCCTATGCTGTTCTTGCCACTCCCACTAAGTGGTGACATTCTGTAATGTATGAGATGGGTGCTTTGATTCAGAATTTGACACCCTTATTATAAGAGAACAAAAGTGGGTGGCAAGATATCCTGGTAAATCAGAGAACAAAGATGTATTTCTTACAATGATAGCTATATAATGATAGCCCATATAATGATAGCTATGTCAGAGTCTGTTTCAAAACCCTATAGCAGGAATCCCAGTCTTAATATCACTAATCGTATTAGCTAAATATCACAGCAAGTAAAATGAGTTTTCAATAACACTGCTAAGTAATTTCCAGCTAGTTTCATGCTTAGAATAATCTTATATTTTTCTTTGTAAGTTTTGCATGGATATACTGGGGCAATTATCTTCAGGCATTTCGAAACTAAGCTAGCGCAGCAGCTTGCCAGTCTGCCTCACTGTGACCTGCTGTGGTGTTTATGTTATGCATGCCACTTGTTATTAGCTCACATATGCATGGAATACCATTTTCCTCTTTATTGCTTTAATATAATGATATAATGGCATGTAGAGTATTTACGGAAAGGATAGACTTCAAATTTAGGGGCTCTCAGTTGTTAGTCATGCCCAGGTAATTTCATACCATTTTTTTAAATGAAAAATAAATATTTGGTAGGAGTTTAAAGATTAATAGACAGGAGAAATTGCAACTATTTATTGAGTAACCACAGTTTCCTCAATGTTGTACAAACATGGCTTCTAGTATGAAGTATTTATAAAGTCAGATTATCCCCTCCTGTCATAGGAAAGGATAAATTATTTGATAAACTCTTCAAGTATAGGTGTGCAGTGCTCACTTTATTTCCTCTAACAGGTGAGAATAGGGGGTCTCTGTTTTCCAGTTGCATTATGTCCTGGGATTTTCAGAGAAGTTGGAGAGTCTTCATGAAGACTATGCCATATCATACTCGTAGCTCTCTGCAGCCTTGCTGACATTCATGGCTGGCTATTGCTGTGCATTTCAAACCTTTTTGGGGGATGGAGGTGAAAAACGAAGAGCCAGAACTACAGTAAATATTGCTCATTAATAGCTTTTCATGACTTAGTGGAGGAGTGATATCACAATAAGAAACCTCACTCAGTTCTATTCAGCAATGACTCCCCAGAATTTACTCAGTCAGTTTGTGGTCAAAGCCCAATCTGAATAAATAGGGTGATAGTGTGTCTTGGCCTGTTCTCTCATATCAGATGTGAAGATATGTATACATAGCAAGCCAAAAGTTCAAAAAAGGCTTTGAACTTTTAAAGAATTCTTTTAAAAAGATATTAGGTATTTATTTTTAACTTTCATTATACAGTCAGTCAATCAATCCTGAGGCTGCACTGACCGTTGGGGCACCTTTGATGCAGCAAGAACTTTCCTCCATTCTTTCTGGTCTTTTGCAGTCCTTGTACAATCAGTTAGTTTTAATCTGTGAAGGGAGAATTGCCAGGAATGGCGGCGGCCCCAGGCATCACAATCACCCCATAGTTACCTCAGGTGAGAGAAGGAGAACAGCTGGAGCCCGGAGCACCCCACCATATTTCTGCATCGAGTGCTCCTTCCAGATTGGCAGCGAGGGAGCCTGGAGCAGTACTTCTGGCCCTGAACAGAGGCAGCCAGAGAGACACCGCAGTATCCAAGGAGAGAAGACACCAGAGGACTCTCCTATCTGTGCCAGTCCTCACCAAGCTACAGCAATGCGAAGCATGACACTAGGCATGAGTGGTCAGAAGACTACCAATGAACACAGGGATGACAGACAGAACGCCAAGGTGGCTCACTTAAAGAAGGATTGAAACCCCAGGCTGAAGTAGGTACCCGAGGAGATGGGTGGTATGTGGCACAGGAGCCTGAGCCTTCTGTGGGTGGGACAGTAGAGCCAGCCAGTCATAAATTCATTGCTTAACTTGATTTTCATTTCAGGCTGTTAATGACTTGATAGAGGGGGATAAACCATGAAAAAATGTTTGGACTTAAGTTGATTTCCATTTAGGACTGTGAATGAATTGATAAAGGGGGAGAAACCTGGAATGAATGAAGAGACTTCAGCTGATAAACTTTCTGAGACAGTTAAGGAATTAGGGGAATTGATTTAAGTTGATTTACTTTTGAAGGCTGTTAATCGGTTGATAGAATGGAGTGATCCAAATGAATGAATGAACTTCAGTTGAGGTACCTTTGGAGATGGGTGATTAATTAATAGAATTGATTTAAATTGATTGATTTACTGGTGAGATTGTTCATCAACTAATAGAAAGGGATGAACCCTGAATGAGCAGTGGACTGAATAGGATTAGGCCACTGATGAACTTCTACTGAATAGAGTAGAAGAGCCTGACCAGGATTACAGTGGCATAGGAAGGACTGCCATACTTGTGACAAGGTGTGACAGAGGGAACACTCATGGCTGGGTCTCACATCGGCCTACCCACCTGTCTAAGTAGTGCAGTCCACCCAGTCTCTGCTACCATACTTGCTGTTTCTTAACATGGTGTAAAATGCAGGAGGCTGCTCATTTAAGACCCCGATGCCTAGGTGTTTAGACATGGCTCTGACCTTCCCTTACCATGTCCCATCCAGTTTATTATTGCAACCTGGCTTCAGGTGGGGCCAAACTCAGTCCACTGTTGGGCCTCTCACACTGCCACTTTGAGGGCCATATTCATACCCCCCTCCCCATCCCCCAGCCCCCCGCTCACTGGTGCCTCTTCCACTCTGCCCTCTCTCACAGGGCCTCTTGCACACTGCCCCTCACTGGGCCACTCTCAACCTGCCCTGCTCCCTTGAGCAGCCCCCTTAAGCCATAAGGATTGACTACTCTCATACTGGCACTGCACACGCAGCCCTTTGGACCGTTCGTGCTCCCTTACTCTATGTGGCATAGTCTGTGTGCCTAACAAAGGGCTAATTTTTCCCCTAGCCCCTCACCGGGTGATTTTCCACTTTCACTTGCTCATAGGGGTTGGCCTGTGTGCTGCCCTTCAGGCCATCCTTCAGCCCTACTCAACACACACCCTGGTGCAGCCCTTCAGACCAGCCTTCAGTCCTACTCTACACCTTGCTTACACACAGTCCTTCAGGTCGTAACAATACTCCCTACTCTGTGTGAGCCCACCATATATTACTGCCCCCCCCCCCGGGGCTACTTTCCTGCCCTCTCTCCAGGCCATGTTACTGCCCCCTCACTGGGGCCTTTGGGGTGTTACAGCCCTGTGGGGCTCAGGTGTCCAAAGACGTGCCTGGCTCTCACGCCTGGCCCTAAATCTGGGTGACCCACCAGGGACTAGGGTTTTAAGGCACCCCTCCCCGCCTTTCACTGGGGTGGCAACTGACCTGGCATTTCTGGGGAGCTCTCCTGCCATGGTAGCTCCACCAGGCCATCCTTCCCCAGAAGGGTGCAGTTTTCAGTCATACCCATGACCAGGAGCCTCCAGCCATCCCCATGGCCCCTGCCCTTACCTCCAAAATGTTCCGAGCAGCAGCTCAGCCGGGTGTTGTTATACTAGCTGCCAACAGCAGACTGCTGCCTATGCCCTGTGGGCCTAGATCGAAAATGGCCACCTCATCAGAGCTGGCCCGCACCTGCTGGCTGCCTGCTCCCAGCCTTAAGGTGGTAGGCACTCAAAAGTGCCCTGCCACACAAGGGTTATGACCCCCACAAAAAATTAAATCACACCTAGGATGTGGTAAGAGTGGACTGTAAAGGGAGGTGGAACCCTACAAAGAAATTCCTCTGAGGCACAGGCCCAGACCTATCAGCCAGCATAACCAGCTCCCAAATTTAAGAATATCAAAGATGTGGCAGGTAAGAAAGATAACGCTGGAGGGCAGATGCAATAGCCTTGATCCTTATCCTGACATTGCCCTTCAGTAAGACGCCAGGTAGGAGAAGGTCTAGGCCATATAGCACTTATGCCTGACATAATCCCATCCAATCTTTGATGTTGGTGGTCCAGCTTGTCCTAGGTCTTCCTCCTCTTCTTTATCCGTCCACAGTACCATGCAGGATGGTGTTGGCAAGAGTGCTGTGCCTTCTTGTTACATGTCCGAACCACTGCATCTTTCTTCTTCTTATGATTTCAAGTAATGGTTCGTATTTGCTGACTTCTTGTCTGATTTCATCTTTCATAATTCATTTGCTCTACATACATTGTGGGGTATGCATAGAAGTCTTCTAAAGCACCGCATTTCAAAGGTCTCAACTCACCTTTCCAGTGCTTTAATGAGTGCCCAGATCTCACAGACGTAGAGGTAGAGTTTCATTTTCATTGTGATACTGATACTAGTCCAGATTATCTTCTGCTTTTTAGTTGTCCAATGGTGATGGCTATTCTTGTTTTTCTTTCTTTTTCTGATGTAGCATCTTCTGTGATGGTTGCTCCAAAGATGGTTGCATCATTATACACGATGGGTTAAATGCTAAAAAAACATCATGGAGAAGGTGTTTAAGAACACATTTGAATAAGGAGAGGCAGTATGACTAGCAGGGGCTCATTTTTATTTTTATTGGAACATCTATTATTTGTACATTGGCTGGTGCTTGCAATTACACTGCAGTGTACAATCTTCTGTATGCAGAAGCTAGACAAAATCATGCCTGACTCTGAACCTATATCTAAAAAGAAAATAATATATGCTATCACTTCCCAAGCTATGAAAGGAAGCAGAAGACATTTTTTCATGGATTCAGGACTAAAAGAAAACCAGATGTTTGAGGGAGTTTTTCTCCTTTAACTGGGCTCTTAGAGATGAAATTCTGTGTCTGTAAGTTGCTTTCTTAATCAAGCTTGAGACTTTTCTGTTGGTACTCACATGTACGTGAGACAGAGTAGAGTTCACTGAACATCTCAACAGGACTTTTATATTAGATTTAACAAAACAAAATGCACAAGCCACTACAAACAAATATGTTGGATCAGATCTTCAGCTAATGTAAATCAGCATAGATTCATTGTCTGCATTTGATTTTTGCCACTGTTAAACCAGTTGTGAATCCACTCTATTACATTTAAGGAGATAATATCCCATAGCTCAGATTTGATAGCTGCATTGATAAAAGCATGGATGACACTTCTGGAATTTGGATAGTAATGATGTTTAATGATGAAAAATAGCCTTAATAATCCAGATTATTGGTTTAATTTGGAAAAAAAATATGATCTTTGCTGTATAACTGTGAGAGAAATAAGTAGTTGTTTGGGCAAGGCAGAGACCAAATGAAAAGCAAGTGCCTTTTCCAGCTATTTTATCTCACATACTAGGAATAAAATTGAATCCACAATACTGAGCTGCTCTCAATCCAGCTGTCACATGTGGCTTTAAATTTAAAAATGATGAAGGAAACTCTGCTATCTGAATAATCATTCTGATATTAATTCAGCAGATACATTATTAGTGGCTTGAGACTGTAATTTAGAATCTACTTATACACTGGTTCTGAGAAGATTTTTGCACTTAATTTTTATGCTTAATCTTACATCTAGGAACCTGTCCATGGGCCTACTCAGAGAACCTGATCTTGCAAAGACTCACACAAGTGCTTCACTTTACGCATTGTGAGTATGTTTACACCAGAGGTAGACAACCCCTGCCATGGGTGCCAAAGTGGCAAGGAAGGAGCTGGCTCCCCCACTGTCTGCCCAAGGCATGCTGTCAAGGAGAAGAAGCAGTCTAGCTAGTGAGGCCTGCAGGCTAGGCAGAGCCCCACAGCTGCGGGTTGCCTGAGCAATACGCTAATGAGATAATTAGCTGGCACTTGCAGGCAGTCAGCAGACTGGAAGGAGGCAGGGCCCTGGACACAAATAAACCCCAGGCTGGGGCTGGCAAGGGTTAGTTCTCTGGCAGTTGCCAGAGGAAGGAGCTCTTGTGCGAAAGAGCTACCTGGAGACATTTGGTTGCTTGATCTGCTGCTTGCAAGACTAATATGGCTCCAGTATCACATAAGGTACCCAGGACTAGGAGCCACACTATACTAGGGGAGAAGTTTGCCTCCTTAAAGGGGCAGAGCGAGGCCTCCATTGTCATTGTTATGTTATAGCCCAGGGACTTACACTTGTGTTGTTGTCTGAAGTAGTAGTTTGGGATGAGGCTATAAGGGAGGTATGGATTCCTCATTAGTACCTAGAGGGGGCATGGGATCACACAGAGCCCTGCCAGCAGCCATGCATTTAGCCCATAAGGCTCAAGGTACCCTGTGCGGCTCAGTACTGGAGTGAAGTCTGGTGAAGGGCTGAAGAACCAGTGAGTTCTTGTGGGGTTCAGTGGACCAGAGCCACATGAAGGCCCATAGGCAGCCTCCCAATTCATTACTTTGCCATCAAGATGCAGCAGCAAGACAAATGGGCACCCACAGGGCAGAGATGGCATGGTCAAGGAGCCACCAGGGGCATCATAGCCAACCCTGGGGACCCCAACCCGTTACACATACCAACATCCTACAAGTCAAGGCTGAGGATAGGGGGTCTTCCCTAGAATGTTGCCGAACCCTCGTCTACACTGTTTCCGCAGGACTCCCAGGAGTGCTACTTTAAAAGTTTAGCCCACCAAATGCCATACTGCACATGCCAAATCCCAAAATAAAGCAAGGTTCGCGCCCTAGGGTCTCCAATCATTCCTGCCTGCAGCATGTTTGAGAGAGTGTGGCAAAGAATGCTCACAAGGCAAATTTGCTGCCTTCTTTCTGGTTTTGTCCCCTCCTGAATGGGAGAAGATGTGCAGCATGGGTTTCAGGAGTGTTGTAGGAGCAGCACAGATATACATGACTAAGCTGTTCCATTGGCCTGGGAAAATTCACAATGTATGAAGTCAAGTAGGAACTTAAGTCTCTGTAGGAAGGTAACCACAGTGTGTGAAATTAAGTACATACGTAAGTATTGTCATTTTACCTAATGATTTCCCTACCATTGCAGTAGCCCAGTATGTTGGTGATACCCTTGCATCTCCTAATTTTTTCCTATTTCTTTTTTATTTGGATTTTCTCTTTTTTATTGGGTGTTTTATGGTTATAGCATGGGCTAGACTCACTGTTTTTGAGGACCTTTAATCGAATGTTTATTATATGGTTGTTTTCAATTCTAGGGGTATGTCTCAACTGTCTTGGTGCTCCATTCCAGCTCTATATTCCTAATCTCTGACCAAGAGCTTTCATTGTTACCAGTATTCCTTCACCAGACTGAGCAATAATGATGTTAGAGGATTAGGTCCTGGATGATCTGGCACAGGAATCGGGTCTCTGAGGGAAGGTTGAGGGTCCAGTGGCTAAATACCAGATCCAGAGGGAGTAACTGGAGCATGACCTATGACAGAGGCTGGGGTCAGAATCCAGAAACCAACTTCCCATGGCTGAGGAGCAATCCATAGGGCAAAAACCGAGCACCAAGTCAACCCATAGGTTGAGAACCAGGAAACAGATTTGCAGAGGAAATCTGAGGCTCGAGTCAGGAGAAAGCCAAAGACAGGAACCAGGAAAATCAGAAGGAGTGGGAATCAAGAGGCTTGCTACAGTACACTGGATCAAAACTGTTGACTGGTCTGGAAATCCACTGCCCCAGCTGGGACTATATGGATAGGTAGTGCTTCCAGTAGACAATCAGGACACTCACTGGTCCTAAACTGGGACACAGTTTGTTAGCTAGTGATTTACTGCAGGTGTGGCTGCTTCGGTACTTGGCCCAGGCTGGCCGCCTGATCAGGGTCCCTGACAAATGATTATTTCATATAGTTAATACTATAACATGGAGCTCCACCAGTTCCTCACTTTCCAGTAGTTATTTAAAAGGATCTCACTGGGTCAAACCTTGTCATGAATTGTTCATTCTGATTTTAATAATTTTTTTAATTTTTACATTTTGTCTTCCCTGTAAGTAAATGCCATCATTTATTAAGAAATGTTTAATGATATAAAAAGAAAGAAAAGAAAATTAATTAAATTGGCTTACAGGCTACAAACTGATGCTGAAAGGTTAGACAAGCTACTAGGAATGCAAAGGGGAACAAGGAAAATATGTCTATATGGTACACGCACAATGTTCAAAGACCAAGAAAATGCTGAGCAAAAATATTATCTCAGATATCTAGGAAAGGTATTATCTTTTCCTTATTATTTTGCAAGGAACTACTTGTCATTGTGGAAGGATTCTTTACAAATATCTCCTTAAAATGCTTTCAAAAAGGTGAACACTGCAATTAAATGTAAGACTAGTGAGTCAATTTATAATAGGCAATAAGTTCTTTCAGATCTATATTATTTTGATTATTCTGCAGTCCACTTGTTAGGTAGCTGAAAAATTTAATTCTTGGTTTTCCTCTTTTACAAGACCCTGATAGCCCTGACATCTTACTTCATACCCTGCAATGCCTTCTTAAAGCACAATCTGGCTTAGTTTATGGAGCTAGACCTAAGACACTAATATTCTTCATGGAAGTAACAACACTTCTATATGTTTTTTTCCCCCACATCTATAATCTAATTCCCTTATCTGCTTCACTGGGGTGCCACCCAGGACTCCATTAATTAATGCAAAGCTGACACTTAATTTTGCTGGCATTCTTATTTGTTGATTTGGGGCCTGATCCAATGGGAAAAAAAATACAATGACTTCAATCATTGTTTGTTTGTAACCTTGAGGAGGTGCGTGGGAAAGACATTACACATAGAACATGTGAACTTGTGTTTAGACCACTGATATAATGCAGGGATGGGTCAGCTTCTCAACTGGAAATGGAGACAAGTCTCTACCTTACACTGGCATTGGAAAGCTGAAAACTGCTTGGAGACACTTTTACAAAAGCTAAATAAAGTATGCTAATTGTTATGTAAGCACAAAATGCTATATGCTTAAAGACAATCTCTGGAAGAAATCAAACTAAGGAGATCGTGGCTCCCAGCCTTGCATTCAGCTGATGATGCTGAGCATTCTTAAAGGTTATGAACCCCCAATTACTTTCCAATTAACTCAGAATTTTGTCTATGCTGATTTAAGTAAAAATAGCATTTTGATTAAATATGTATGTGTGTGCATGCGTGCAAGTGTGTGTATGCGTGCACGCACGTGTGTGTGTAAAACGATAAATGAATATATTTTGCCCAGGAATCAAAAGATTTTGTCAAAAACTGTCCTGAGTGTGTGTCTGCCACCCTCCTAAATATCCTTTCCTTCAGCATGCTTGAGAGAGAGAGCAGTAGTGAAAGGCAGCAATGCTGAAATTTCACAGCTGGTTCATGAACTCAAAACCAGAGCATTTTCCTTAAAAGACATTTCTTAGCAAATACTTCACATAGTGCTAATTACTACTGTCTAGTATCAGAACCAAAAGGATTGGGGTGATTTTAAAAAAGGACTGAAGACTGAGACAGAGTACAATCAAGGCTGTTATGTAGAGAGATAAAAGTCAAAAGCACAGCCAGACTCAACAGACTTTCAGGATGTGAGTGGCTGGCCTCAGCAAACACTTAGTACTGAGTCAGGTAGGACTTCTAACAGAAATTAATTTTATATCCTTATTTGAACTGCTTATCATATAGAATTGTTTGGAAGGTCAGAAAATGTGCAGCTTTATATACAATTTTTCTAATCAATTATAACATTAATGATTGTTGAGTGCAGTGAACATAAACAAAAAAGATGTCACGGACCATAAAATATTATCACAGGTGAATACATTAGGTTTTATCCGCACTAGAGATTTACCTTTACTATAGCTGTTGGCATATCCAGTATGGACAAACAACTATTGGGAATAGTGGTGCTACTGCTGTGTCCAATAACGCATATATCTGTTTGAGTTGTTACAGTAGGTGTTGAATCAATATAACTATACTGATAACCATAACTGGGGCAAATCCCCCGCCTAGACAAGGCCTTCAACTAAGAGGTCTTCAGTGAAGGAACCATAACAACCTATGCATTTGTACAGAGCCTATTACTATGATCCCCAAATTGAGATCAGTGGTGGCCAACTGTGATATGAATGATTATTATTGCATTGTTCAATTGTACTATTCACCAAAGATACAGCTCATTATACGAATTCCCTATTTATACCAATTTGTGAAGCCCAAACTATTGTCATATTATTTTTCAGAAATCTTTTTCCAAGGTGTGGGCTGCCTGCCTTAAGCAACTAAAGCTTGGTGAAGAAAAAAAACATATCTGATTGAAGTTAAAAATTACATAAATCACATTAGAACTATAATTTGCAAATTCATTGTGTGAAGTAATTAATCAAAGCATGGCTGAGTTATGGTACTTGAGAGACTTTGATCTGACAACTAGAAGAAATATAGAGAAACTACTGGGTATCAAGCTACAATGTTAGAACGTAAAATGTTTCTCCATGCTAGTCACAAGTTTAATTACTTCTTTTTTTCCGCTGACAGACCCAAATTAAAATAAATGGGCCACATCGAGACAAATCTCAGATGCATGCAGCGCTTAAGAATATAATTGTTCCTGTAATACAGGAATACCATGAAATTTATTAATAAAGTTGTTCCATTTGTTTTTCTTTAAACAGGGGAGTGGCGGCTAGTGTAAAGGGAAAAACAGACTATACCCAAAAAGAATCACTTGTCCTTCATAATGCATGTGTGTGTAAATAAATAAATAAATAAATAAATATATATATATATATTTACACACACATGCATTATGAAGGACAAGTGATTCTTTTTTACTATACATGCATACTATACTATACATACATACATATATGCACACACTATATATAATAAGCTTGATCGGGTGATTTTTAAACACTGTATATATTTTTATATGATGTGTATTTTGATGCACTTACACAGAAGTGTTAAGAAAGATATTAATGCTAAACCAACAAAGCAGTCATATATTAAGCCAACTGCTTAAATACCATGACTCCTTATTCATACAGATGAGCAGTTTCAATTTTAGTAACAAAATTGCAGGCTGTTCTTCTAATTAATGTAGGCTTAGGAAACTTTAAAATAAATTAAGATACTTTAAAATGAAATAAATGGACAAATATAATTATTTGGTTGGAACTACTGTTAGTGACTTAGGGTCACTAGTGACTTAGGGGCCCAATTCATACACTGAGCGCATCTACATAAGACACTTCAAGCATAGAAGGCTAATAATTCTACTGAGCATTAGCGCAGCATGCAAAGCCCATGCTAATGTGCTAATGCACAATAGAATTAGGCTACTGCATGTTAGCATCACAAAAAAAGTCCATGCCAGCACTAACATGCAGTAGCACCAATTATGGTGCATTGTTAATACCTGTAATTATAGGTACTAGACTTAATGCGCCATAATTATGCCACATTAATGAACTTGTAGACACACCCAAAAAGAGCAGTTCTATATGTGCAAATGATGCTTGATGGGTTTACTCCAGAGTAAACTACCCAGGGCAGGTATCTACACATGTCCCTCCAGCCCTGCACTGGCTCCCTCCAACAGCCAGGGGGAGTTCTAGGCTCCCCCTGGTTGTTAGCCCAGGGGCTGGCAGGGATCACCGGGGCTGGAAGATTGCTCTAAGCCCCTGAGCTAGCATCTAAGTGGAGCCTTCTCATGGCAGGGGCTGCAAGATTGCTCCCTGTCCCCAGGACCTGCCTGCTGACAGGGCCAGCTACGGTGAAGGAGCCCAGGTGAGGATAAGGTCCCCCTGCTCCAGCAGCAGGGAGCTCCCAATTCCAGATCCCTGCCTCTCCCCTGCAGCTCTTTCCAAGCTCCCTGGTCAGAGACAGGGGACTTGGAAAAAGCTGCAGGGGAGAGGCAGGTCCCAGCCTCCTGGCCTGATGCACCAGTAGGGCAGCTAGCAGTGAGCCCCCAGTGGCTAGCAGTGGCTAGCAGTGAGCAGTGGCGGGGGTGGGGGAGAGGGCTTACTGCTAGCTGCTCCACCAGCGTATCAGGGCAGGGGGCTGGGACCTGCCTCTCTCCCACAGATCTTTCCAAGCCCAGTGCCTCAATCTTTTGATCAGGAGACAGGTCTGGAAAAAACTGCGGGGCTAGGACCTGCCCCTGACTGGGACAGTTCCTGGCCAGCCCCAGGCTGTATAGGGGAATTCTGCACGTGCAAACCTGTAGCTGGCTGGGGACTACCCAAAATGGGCAGATCCCAGTCAAGTCTAGGCTGGGGGAAACTCTCTCTGTCCACAGAGCTCCGTGCCCCAGCTCTACGATCATGATTGAGAACATGGATCAGGAGCTAGGAGGTTGTCTCTGCCCCAGCTCTGCAATCACAGAGTGGGGGCAGGGAGCAGCTCCAGGATAATGGAGTAGGGGCTGGGAGCTCCCTGCTGCTGAGGCAGGGGGACAGTGTCCCTGCCTGGTCTCTGTTGGCAGAGCCCACCCTGGCAGCAGGCAGCTCCCAGGGGCACAGAGCAATCTCCGAACACCTGCTGCCCAACTGACCAAGTGCAAATTTGCTACCAGTCAGCTGTCTATAGGTGCCTTACTGAGCAGTAATTACTCAGCAGTTAATTTGCTATTCACATTTGCAGGTAGCAAATTAACTGCCAAGTAAAGCAAATTACTGCGCAGTAAGAATCACGTATAGACAGTGACACTTATTACGCAGTAATTTGCTCTACAGGATAGTAAAGCATCTCATGTAGACACACCTTGCATGTTGTTACCTATGCTCAGGTGAATAAATCTGCTATACTAAAGACCCAAGCTCAATGTTCAAAAACCATCAGAATGGATCAAAATAGTGCAGGCAATTGGCTTAAAAAATTTGGAGACCCAGAAAACAAGGCACTTTTTGTGGTGTGTTTTCTAGGTTTTACTTCTGGTGGAAACTATTTGTCTTGGATAGGTCCAAGGATCATGACAGACTGAACTTTAAATGCATATGAAAGAAAAAGCAGTCATCCTCCTTCTAGTTCTATTCCCCATTCCAAAACATCTTGGATTTGAGTACTGGCCTGGAACACCCAAGCTCAGGCCTGAGGCTGGAGCTAAGCCTTCACCTGCCCCAGGCTGTGGGACTCATGAGGCAGGGGGGAAAGGAGATGTATGGCAAAGGGAGCATGAGGGGTAGACCACACAGCGGGGTTGGGAGGAGTTCATAGGAAACCACCAACCTGCTCTCCTCCCTACCCCCCAGCTACTTACCTCAGTCTGTAACTCCAGCTCCAGCTCTGGCCCAGCTCTAGCTGCAATCTGGCCAGTCCTGGAGCTACCACTGCTGTTTCTGCCTGGCAGGCTGGGGCAGGTCCAGGGCTAGGGTTGCTGTCTCACTTGGAGTCAGAGCTGCCCCAAAGGTAAGTGATGAGGGTGGCAGGTGGTAAGGATGGACAGCCACAGTGGGGGTGAAGCAAGGGACAGGGAGCCAGGTAGTAGAAGGTCAGAGAGCAAATGGCAGGAGGTGCAGGTACCAAGAGCAATATGAAGCAGAAGAGACAGGCAGCAGGGGACAGGCACAGGTGTAATAAGAGATGGGGAAGACAGACAGAGGGATTTGGGTAAATACTGTAAGTCCAGAGAGCCCTTTTTCTGAAAACAAAACCAAAACACTAAACACTGCCACCCCTTGCCACTTTAAAGCAAAGACTTGTCTCTAGTCATATAGGCTCTGCAGTTCTAGACACAATGCCCTTTGCCTGCCCTGCTCTCACTATATCCTTCCTGAGGCCCTTTTCCCTTCCAGACACAAGTGTTCTTTCTCAGACTTCTGATCTCAATTCTCAGACTATCTTTTGTTGAGTTCCCATGTCACCAAAACTTTGTTTTGCAACCCTAAATTCCCAGAATTTTCCAAAGGCTCCCTCTGTCTCTTAAGAATGAGACCATGAAGAACAGCAGTGCTGTGGTAAACAGGATAAGTAAAACCTACTTGACTCCTTCCTTGCTGTGCATTAGTTAAGGGCCTTGTTACACACTGCACTTTGAACTGCTCAAATGTTGATTGGTGTTAGTGATAGCTTGAGTTTGGAACAGTCACACCTTAAGGCTAAAAACCTTCTCTGATTGTCCCCCCACCTGCACAGCTGTGACTTGCTACTAGAGGGCTGACAAGCAGGTGCAGGACTAGGAGCTACAGCCGTGAGTTGCCACTATAGGGCTGGTGAGCCAGGACAGGCTTCTATCCCTGATTTAGGTGGGGAGGGAGTGGGGTGAGAGATAGGGAGGCAGGGTGCGTGAACATGAAGCTGAGAGGCA